AGAGCACAGCAGCCTGAACCATGTGGTGATGCCTCAAAAAGAGCACAGCAGCCTGAACCATGTGGTGATGCCACAAAAAGAGCACAGCAGCCTGAACCATGAGGTGATGCCACAAAAAGAGCACAGCAGCCTGAACCATGTGGTGATGCCACAAAAAGAGCACAGCAGCCTGAACCATGAGGTGATGCCACAAAAAGAGCACCCCAGCCTGAACCATGAGGTGATGCCACAAAAAGAGCACACCAGCCTGAACCATGAGCTGATGCCACAAGAAGATCACACCAGCCTGAACCATGAGGTGATGCCACAAAAGGCACCTCATGGTTCTGGCTGCTGTTCTCTTTTTGTGGCATCACCACATGGTTCAGGCAGCTGGTGCTGGTGTGGCATCATTTATTCAATAATTATCACAAAGCAGACAGACGTGATAAACTACTAGACTAAATACGTTCCACTGAAAGGCGCTTATCTTCACAGAGGCGTGAAATTGATTCCAAACATTTTCTTTTTCTCCTCGACACACGCTTTGATTTTTGCTCCCCAAGACGACCTTCAATAAAAATTCAATTTCTCACCTAAAGATATCAAGAGTTTCATCTTTAATAATATTGTTGCGTGCTGCTAGGATCATGAATTTTTTATTTTTTTTTTTGCTCATATCACTGAGGAGGAGTTGTGGCGATACAACCAGCACTGGGCAAATTGCTTGCTTAAAAGAGAGATGTTTAGCAATTGAGGAGTTTTTTTTTTTTTAAATAAAACAGGCATGAAAATCAGAGTGTGAGGTGTGCCAAATTCACAAAGTCACAGATGGTGGACCAGACAGCATGAATTCAGAGATCACCACCTGCTGGATGCTTTCGAGGTTTCCTGTTCCAAAGCAAACAGAAAACAACTGTATAACAAACTCTTGTTATGTTTGTGGAATTGTTTTGTCATTAAAACATATGATACAAAAGATAAAACAAAACAAGATAAAAATCAGTGTTTGTATTTAAATAAAGTAGAGCAATAGCATTTGTCGCATCAATCCATCCATAGTGAAATTAGTAAAATATTGGATTTCATCATGTGTTTCAAGATCAGGACCAGAAGACTAGATAAAAGCAAACTTTACATTGGAAACAATGCAAACATATGTTGTTACAGAGGTCTTTACAAAAAGAGAAAAGAACATGGCCTTACCATATCTGATTAATATTCAGAATATCTAATATATATATTTTTCAAGTTAACAGAAAATACCTATTTTCTCTTTAAACCTGAAATAAATCAGTATATCTAAAGTATTTGGTATTGATATCAGATCCTATGATTTAAGTATGAGAACTAATATGTTTAAATCAATCCAAAAACGACACAGGGGTCACGGTTTCGTGTCTTTGAACCAGCTGAGACTGGAGAATCCCAGATGGGATCCTGAATACAGAAATGTACTCATTCTGATCATTAGCACTTAGAAGAGGTGTTGTGACATTTTTTTAAATTTACTTTATTTTACTGATTTAAAAAGAAAATGAAAAAGGCACAGCAACAGAAAGTTGTTGAGTTAAAAAGTGCTTTTTAAAAATATATTTCTTTATATTTTGTTATGTCAATGAAACTAAGTGTCTTCAAACTTTTTCTTTAACTTCCTACCCTTAACTCTGAAAACCACAAAAGCTTTTTTATTTCAGCACTGCAAAAATAAAATTTAAATGAGGCATAATTCAGGCATAAAAAGCAAACCGTCATTTAAGCTCTTCATGGTGCAGCACGGTGGCAGCACAGTAAATCACATTGACTGCAATGACACAAAAGTTTCAGGTTTACTTGGGTCATCAAACTTTAATGTCTTGCAAAGAGCTTTTACAATATTTGTCCTTTGTTTCTACACACAGCATCGAAAATGTACAGTGATTGGGGAAAGGGTAAGAAAGACAACTCCTCTTTAAATCTTGAAAATTAGAATCCATAATTAGAACTAAAGTAACTATGTCAATAAAACAATTGTTTATTATAAAGAGTCAAAGCAATCCTCTCAAGTAACAGAATTGTAATCTTACCTGTTTATGAGATCATCTATGGAAAATTTCAAGAATTTTAAATTAGGTATAACAAAATATCTCCATACTTTATTGTACAGGAAGTTGCATCATATGGGATCTCTGGAGTGCTTGTCTTCAGGTTGTCATTAATCTGATAGGTCGTTGCCTTTCTGTTTTTAAAAAGTTTCAGCCCCAGATGTTTGCAGGACCTTCTGAAATGTTGGTCAATGGACCCGGAAAGAAACCTGCCTTTTTATTAGCCCCCAGCTGTAGTTTACAATACTGCAATGTACTCATGTATTTGTTGCAAAATAATTATTCAACTTGTGTTTAATCAAGTATTTAGGAAAAGAGACCCCTTTTTCCATTTTGTAATAATTCTTTACCCTTCATACTATTGCACTGTATGATGACTTTAAATAATCAGCAGGTTGGAGCTGCTGGTTGTATGCGCTGTACTGCCATTACATGCTGGGGAGAATCTTGTACTGACGCACAACTCTACAACAATAAATTGTGATTGTGTAAAACAAAATGCCCAAGGAAATTCTCAAGCAGTTTTCAAGCCCAAAGATGAAGACATTGCAAATCTCCTTTGTCTACAACTTTTTCTGCAATGTTTATTTTAATGTGATATAGAAATGAGGCTAGTGATTCCTGAAATTCCCAGTTGCTCACATTGGTTTCACTTCTCCTATTGTGCGAAAGAGTTGGGATAATTGTGAAAAAATGTACACTTAGTAAACTTTTTTGTATATTTAACTCAGCAAGAAGGTCCATTCGTTTCTCGTAAAGGCTTACAAAAATGTATAAAAAGTTTCTTCTTAACAAGGTTGGGATTATAAACTGAAAGGCTTAAATGCAAACTGTAAATTGCCCCCAGCTGACAACTCTGCTGCATGACTATTGCTCTTGTTTGTTCTTGTAAATTAGTAGCGCTCAATTAATTTATTTAGCATTTTGTGTGGATTCTGACTAACACTGCCTTGCAGACATATTTCTGCTGCACTTTATTCGCTAAAGCCTACTAGAGTGCATGGCTCACCTGAGCAGTGGATCTCTAGAGCTCCTCAAAAGTCACCTTGAGCCTTCAGGCTCCTTGTGCCATTTTCTATTTTTCAGATGATGATTGGAACAGTGAAATGTCCAAAGCTTGATATATAGTTTTTTGGTTGTTGTTTTTATCTGTTTATTGTCTTCAAAAGGATGTGGTTAAACTAGATTTCATTAAAATGTTACACTTTAATTGAAATGCAAATAGGATTTATAGTTGTACTAAATGTTGAAAACGTGTCATTGCCCTGATCTGCCATTCTGGACTTTTTGGTTCGGATTTTTAATTTTGGGTTCTCATTTATGCTTTTTTTTTATTCTGTGTTGTCAAGATTTATATCAGTTTTTGGATTCTTAGTTTTACTCTTCTTTGTTATCTCTTTTCATTATTTTTGGTATTGTTTATTCCTTAGTCTAGCTTTAGTTAATCTTTCTCTTATCTTAGGTTATGTTTTCCATGGCTTCAGTTATCTTTAGTCCCTTATCTTATCCTCTAGTTTTCCCCTGGGTCATTCATTATTTGTAGTCATTAGTTTTATTCCCCTTTAGCCAAAATGTACATTCTTTTCTAGTTACAGTTATACTTGTTTTTCCCTGGTTACAGTTTGTTGCCCCCTAGTGCCCCTTTCCTTTCCCCTTATAGTTCCCCTCTAGCTGTTTCTGTCCACCCCTGCTCCCAATTAACTGATTACTCTACTCTTTGTTCTGTCTTTCATATATACTCCTCCTCTGCAGATCCTCAGTGCTGTATTCTCTTCATTCCCTGATATATGTTTCTCCCCGGTGTCTCCTAGTTTTGGATCCTAAGTTCCCTTTCAATTCAACTTTACAGTCATGTGTTACCCTGTGTCAGTCTGTCACACAAAATTCCACTAAATTACATTCATTGTGATGGGGTTTAACAATAGATGATGCATCACGCATGAATTAACGCTTATACTAATTGTGTTAAAACTTTTGTAACACATTGGGGGTTATTATTTACAAAGCATACTTGCAACATTTGTTTGGTGTAACCACGGAGAAGTAACAATGAGCCATACTGATTTTATTGAAGTTATTTTGAGCACAAACTGTTGAGCACCCAACAGGCCAGACCATCTGCTGCATTAACATTTTGCGTATTATTCATAACAGCTAAGGGACAGCGCTCTGAAATGAATGTTACTAAATAAACTCTCTCCAACAAAGTTTCAAATGTGTAATATATTGTTTTTTTTATTATTGTTAGCCACTGAACAGGTGTGTCTGTGATCTTTGCAGATTATTTAATTTGAAGAAAATCAATTCATTCTTTTTATTTTTGGTAAATTTACTTTGTTTACTTAGTAACCAAAGGGAACAGATGATGTTTTAACAGTTTCGAGTTACCAGAAAACTGAAGAAAACAACAATAATTACAATGTGGGTAATTTACAACAGAACATTGCTCCTGCTAACACAGCTTCAGACTAACTCTTTTTCTACAAACATCCAAACATGAATTATTTAATACACAATTTGATCATAATGCAGCAGTGTATGTTGCTTGTCTCCATCTTTGATCTAAAGTACAAAATCTTCAGACTGTCTGCCTTGCTGTTGGAAACTGCATTATTTTGAGATTTCATTTTAAAATATTGGTAAGGCCTTGATGATGGTGTAAAAAGTTTCTGGCTTTAAAAGTCTGTATGGAATTTTTTTAGAACTTAAGTTCCAGTTGAACAGCTGTAAAGCTAATGATGAGCCTTACTGGTGTCTAAGGACACTCCTGAGGAAGTCCTCAAAGCGTGGGGCAGCAGATTGGTGGACAGCATCTTCCTTGGCAGGTTCGTCTGCAGCATCTTCTTCATCTGCGATGGGTTCATCAGCAGAGGCGGCAGGTTCGGCACGGCGCAATCGGCAGTTGAAGTCGTACTCAGGGTCACAGTCGGGATCTGGGAGAATAATGCCGTCCTTTCCGGGTTTTGGAGCCTCTATGCTGGCAGGCGGTGTGAACTTTCCACATTTTGGATCATAAGGATGACAGAAGGGTGCCTCTGGAGCCTCAGAGCCAGGCTTGACTGGAGTGCAATCCTTGTCATAGTGCACATAGCAGTCGTAGCCTTCCTTGGTCTTGCCACGGATGCCAAGCTGGTAGCGGACCTGGTTGATTGATTTCATTTTTTTTTTTTTTTCAAAACAAAACAGATTTATAACTAAGAAAGACATTAAAAGTATTCAGCAAAACTAATTTTTATTTTCTTACATATTTTAATAAGCTTAATGTTAGCATGACTATTCAGGATTTTCAAGAGAAGGTATTGAAATCTAAAAACAGGACTGGATTCAGACCTGGTGCTCGGGCAGTTGTGGCGGAGGCCTGCGCAGGGCAGCAGCAGCTACCAGTATGCAGTACGGGTTGGTTCGTGGGTCACAGTTCTGACTAGCCGAAGGAGGTGCATGCTTGGGGACGTACTCCAGGACAGGTTTGGTGAGGCTAGAGAGCCTTGAGGCAGTCAGCGGGTTACAGCCTGTATCAAAGAGAGGGTTGCAGTGCTGCTCTTTGGGTGCCTCCCTAGCAGCAAGGGGAGAAGGAGCTGCAACGTTACTGACACAGAGAGGATCCACTGATGGGTCACAGCTTGGGTACATCAGATGGTAGAAACCAGTGGGGGCCTTCTGCACCAGAGGGGGCATACAGTATGGGTCATTTGGGTCACATTTCAAGGCAGCATAGGATGGAGACGGACCCAGCACTGGGCGGTACCCGAACGCTGCTCTTAGGTGGTACTGCAGGCATTCGACGTCGTCAGGTTGGCAAATTCTGAGCAGTTCGGACCTCTGCTCAGCGGTCAGGAAGGGCTCCAAAACAGGACCATAGTAGTAACCAGCAGGGCCCTTCAGAGGCATGGGCAGCATCGGGGCAAGGATGGGGGCTGGTACCTTGGCTGGAGCCGGTTCACGCACGGGGACAGCAGCTTTGGAGGACATAGGGTAGAGGCAGTATGGGTCAATATAGGGGTTGCACATCCTGACAGGAGCAGACTTCAAAGGTGCAGGCATGACCACGGCGGCTTTGGGCTTGCTGGTATGCTCAGCTATGCATTCTGGGTCATCAGAATCAGCACAGGTTTTGTAGATTTCACTGAGGTGTTTGAGGTAGTGGTTAAAGGTTGGCCCCTCCTCCGACCTGTGCTTATTTTGCAAATAGGCCAGATACAGACGATCCAGATCCTCCACCTGAACAACAGGGGCAAAAGCAGCTCAAATTACCATTGTGATTGGCCAAACAATTTACAATCCACTAAAACAGGATTTAAAATAATTCTTTTTGAACTTTTTTTATAAGTTAATACATTTTCTTTTTGATCTGTTCTTTATTCAAAGCAAAATGCAGAGATATGACAGCTATAAACCCTGAAATCTTTTAAATATTTAAAGATGATAGAGACAGATTAATATCTTCATCTGAGTAAGATCTGAGCAATAAATCATTTGCTGTTGTAATCTGAACTGAATAAGAAGGATGAAATATTCTGTGTAAAATTATTCATTTAGTGCATTTAATGGAAAAAAAAAAAAACAGTATTCTCATATACAACCAAAGTCGCAAGTTGATGGATTTTTAAGGGATAAATTAGGCACTTCATAATGTTGTCCAGGGTAAAAATAAATAATTGATGTTGAACTCACCCCCTCCTGGTTGTGGGTGTCCATAAAGTGCTTGTACCATGCCCAGAAGTCAGGCACACGTCTGAACTGGGGCACTGCCATGACTGGGACATTCCTTCTGTTGCGAACCAGCTTTTTCAAGTTGGCCATGGCCTCTGCTTTCACATCATCAGACACTGCTAAAGTGGGAGAAAGCAAAATAAACTGATATTAGTTATGCTAGTGGTCTGATCAATCCTGAAAGCATCTCAAATATAAGATCAAATGGTACCAGCAGCCAAGGTAACAGTGAAGTTATTTCTGTACATAGCTGTTTTTTTTTTAATGGTACCATGTGAATTAGTGTCCTGTGCTATATGGTTGTGCAATCTTACGCTAAATACCGATAATGTCCAAGTAAGCTACGCCATGAAAGGAAATTTCCTTTGCTTATAATTCTTTAAACAAAAAGAAAAACTTTGAACAGTTTAACCTTTATTGGAGTCTATCTGCAATGTTTAAAGATTAAGTAATATACTATGCTAAGCTAACACAGTTTTTACGCAAAGCAGTCATAAATGTTGGGCCATATTAAGCCGGTCTTGCACTGTGCGATTTTTTCAATCATTGCACACAGCTACAGCTAACACTGTACGATGAAACTGCAGGGTTTCGTCGTACAGTGTGAGTTCACAGCTCACGATGTATGTGCCGCACGAACGCTCTGATGCGATCTACCTGCTCACACTGTACATCTAAAAACCACGTCGGACTCGGCTCCGCAGTGAAATGGAGCTACTCTGACTCGTCTATCTGGAAGCCAAACTGGTAGAAGAGGAATGTGAAGCTCACTACAGTGAACCGCGCTGCCTTGGCAATTTGTGAAATTTTGTGCTGAAAGCCCTAAAAAGAAAAGGCGACAACATATTTGGACAAAGACATTGCACCCCCGCCACGCTTCTGTGTTTACATCTGAGAGGATGAAGAAAAAGAAGATTCCTTGTTTGGGCATGCACACTGAGCGAATTACCCATGATGTACAAATCGGCCCGATCAGAAAATTCTCGCACAACTGGAAAGTCGCCCCACAAAGGGCAAAAAAATGCCCAGCTTTAGCATGTTGCAAGGGGGGTTTCCAATTCATCCTCTTCAAAAGACAGACAGTTTTGATCTAGAATTGATTTAATCAGTTTATCATGGTGCACTTAAAGGTCTTCACCAAGGATTGATTCCTGTCCACTCATTGGTTTATAGATCTGCACTTTAAAGTTGTAGGGAAGCAGCTGTTCCAACAGATGCAGTTCCGAATTCTCTCGAGTGGTGCTTGACTTTACACAAGTGAATCAAGTGAACGTGTTGGAAATTTATCAGGGGGGGGGGTGCTAGGTTCGCAAGCACGTTTGATTGTGGCTGTTTTCTCAGAAGCATCTTGCTAAGCAGTTAGCAACTTAGTGCTAGTAGGTTCCCTACTAGTGCTAGTAGCATTTAGAAACGACACTGTCAAGGAACGCTATGGACAGTGGAAACATGCAAGAGGAGGAGAGTTTTGCGTCGGATGTCGTGGGTGAGTCTCCTCCATCATACATTTTTTATTTAGAGGAGGAAAGCGGGGACGAAGATGTTGTGGAAGAGGACGCCAGGGCGGTAGAAGCTTTATTTGGTGTAGAAGGCTTACAGCCGTATATGTTTGAGCCCTTGCCTCGCAACGCTGCCAGTTCTGTTAGCTCTATGCCTGCCGAAGAAACAGACATCCATCCCCATGAACACTGGGACGTAACTCCATGGTAAAGTAAAGGATTCTTATTTCAACCGATGCATATATTAGCTATGACATATGAATCAAGATTTTATGACCGAAGAAATTAGAATGACAGATGACATTGATATGTGATTGGCCGAATTTGGATGTAAAAGCTGACGTATAACTAACTGGCCTGCATGAAATAACAAAGAAAAAAAAAAAAGATTTTACGACAGGATTTTTTTTTATATATAATTTTTATAACTTTTGGGATAATCTGGTCTGATAAAAGTACATTTATAGACATGTTTAAGCCAGAATGATTTGAAATTTAAATATGACTTCCCTATGACTTTAAGTGAAGACATTTGAAATGTTACCTTGATTCTGTTTCAATATAGTCAAATAATGGTTTTTACTGAGGTGGGGAATAAATCCTTCTCTTACTTTGCTCCATGGTCCTGGAATAATTTGCAAAACTTGCTCCATTTAAATTATGTAGTCTCATTGAATGAATTTAAGGCCATGTTAAAATGTCATGTAATTCAAAAATGTAACTGCCCTATGTGACCTGTCTTTTCCTCTATGTGAGATTTTGTCT